TCGTAAAATAGAAGAAAGTATACAAGAGAATATTATGAAGTTTTAGGCAAACATGGCAAAATGTACACACTGCAAGCAGAAGATAAAACTACTATTGTCAGACCTCGTTTCAAACTTGTCAAAGTTCAAGGTGGTATACTTTCAAAGACAGTTCCTAACAAATATAAGACAACTCCTGACGAATATGCTAAAGAAGTTGAAAATGACGACTAAGCAATTCTATACCATGCGTAAACTGTCATGTAAGGTGGCATGTAGTCTTTACTTTGTCCCGTTGTTTGTGTATATCCTGAAACGAAATGTGTATGGTTTCCTTCTCCCTGCGTGTCATCCCAGTAACAATTTATAGCAAACTTAACGTCGTCTTTAACATCATATCCTTTACCTTTTGTCATTCCTGTCCAATCCCAATATCTATGCCTATGCCAACCTGCTTGAGATGTACTTAAATCTATGTAGTGACTGTGTGCAGGTAAATTTTCACCTGAAATCGTTTTACTTCCACCTGTTTCCTTTGAAGAGTTTGCACAATACAAAAACCTGTCGACTATTTGTTCCCATGCACCAACACCAAACATTACTTGAGGACCTCTTGCTTCCATAGATGTATAAATAGAACCTACTGGGTTCATTAAATCAAACATATGAGATATATAGGATTGTCTCTTTTGAACTTAAAATATAGTGCAACTATTTCAGGTTTCTTCTGGTTTGTGTCAGAATATTTTTTATAATATAATCTTATGTTTTCAGGGTAGGTAAAATCTTGACTATAAGATTTATTTCTGTCATCTTCATAATAGTATACTATTCTCGTTTTTTCTATTGCATTATATCTTTTATATCTATAAAAATCTAAATATAATGTTAGCTTTTGTTCATCTACATGTGGTGTTCTGACGTCATCTCCATAGTCATAATAATATGGTGCTGGAGCTGGGTCAGGCAATGTCATATCTGCCATTTCATAAACTCTTAAATATTTCTTTTGTTCGTCTCCATATAAGTTTAAGTAGCAGTTGTTGTCTAATGGAACTTTAACTTGTGTACCATCGTTCTTTTTATAGCTTACATACATTTCATTGTTATTTTTCGGAATGAGTTTATACCGTATACCATTTTTTAAGGAATGTACAAACTGCCATCTAAAATATTTATTTTCTTCATTGACAGAAAAGTCACCAACAATAGTTTCAATATTTTTTGTTCCTAGCAAACTTTGGTATATTTCATTGACATATGTTTTATCTGCTTTTGTCTCTAATGTTTCTTGTAAGTTTGCAATATTTGCAATGGTATGTGTATGTCCAACGGCACTTTTCCTGTTTAAGGTTTCTTGTAAGTTTGCAATATTTGCAATGGTATGTGTATGTCCAACGTCACTTTTCCTGTTTAAGGTTTCTTGTAAGTTTGCAATATTTGCAATGGTATGTGTATGTCCAACGTCACTTTTCCTGTTTAAGGTTTCTTGTAAGTCTGTTATTTCAGATATAGAATGTATATGAGTCTTTTTAGAATATTCGTTTTCAGCTCTTGTCACTTCACTTGACATTTTATTGTCAACATATGTTTTGTCTGCTAGTTCAGGATGAGTATGTTCTTTTGTTGCATAAGCTTTGTTAGCTCTTTCTTCTTCTTTTGCTATTGCATCGTCTACATATTCTTTGTCAGCTTTGTTGCCAACATCTGCTTTCAAAAGAAGTTCATTTATAGGTTTCTCGTTTAAAGTTCCTTTTGTTGGATTTATACAGACAGTATGGTTCTTATTGTCTTGAAACAGAAACTCATCTGTCATTGGGTTTAAAGTCAGTTTTAAGTTTCCTTCTTTCAATGACTCAGATATCTTAGAATAGTTTGAAAAGTTTGTTGTGTTCTTATTTAGAGCTTGTATAATGAGTTGTCGGTTGTGTTGTATTTCTCTCATAGACGCTGTTTCATTTGACATTTTTATTCTAGATAAAATATGCTTCCAATAGAAAAAGAAAATTCAAGAGTTGCTACAACTAAACCATTAGATGAACTTTTTACTAATGTCGGTCAAAAGTTTGAGACAGAGACCGTAAAGCATGAAGGCTATCGTTTTGACTACCCGTTAAGATGGTTAAGAGACCCATCTGTCACAAAAGCTATTGGCTTTCATAGAATGAAGTTCATTTCAGAAGCCATACATGGTTTCCCATTTACAGTCGGTTTTGAAGTTCGATACTATAACAAAGAAAAACGTACGTATGAGAAATTTGAACAGGGAAAACTTTTACAAGTGAATTTGCTTGTAAACTTAGAAACAACTCTTCAAGCTTTTCAAGAAAAAATAAACGACATCTATATCGAATATGCAAACCAGTATAACATTGACGAGGGAGAGTACCATCTCGATATTATATATGACAGGAAAAATGCAACTGTTAAAATCAATAGAATAGAAGACCTTGGAGAAAACGTTTATATTTCTACAAAATATAACAACTTGGCATGGTATAGATTTCTGAGGATGTTAAATCAGCCTGCAGCATATCCAGTACACCCGGACTTTTATGAAGTCGAAAACCCTAATGGAACATATGAAAATGTTTTCGACTCAGATGCTATTATAGTTCATGCTTCATTTTCTGGTGCACAAAACTCTTTTTTATGCTTGGCAAATGACTTTTACGAAAAACCTACAAAGCTATATGAACCACCAAGTGGAAGTATTTCAGACTTTCAAGTATGGTTTACAACAGATGGAAGAAAGAGAATAATTCCATTATACCATGCGTTTTACTTAGAACTTAGTTTCATATACAACTACTATCGAACGGTAAAAATATAATTTTTTAATACGGTTGAGGTGTTGGATTTGGTTGCCAACTAGACTGTGGTGCAGGTTCAGGCTGTTGTATAACAGGGGCTTGTTCTTCTGGTTCAGGGTCTTTAGGTATAATACCAACGAACTGACCTACTCTTTTACCAATATTTTTGACTCCGTTCCAAATTCCTCTTCCTACGGTTTTTATTCCATTCCATATACCTCTTCCAACTCTTCTGAAGAAGTTTCCAATACTACTGAAGAAACCCATTTTACTATATGTAAAAATCTAATGTCCGCCTAGTCTCTTACGTTTCCTGTTGAGTTCCATAGCATTCTTTAACTGGAGCTCATACATTCTGTTTCTCCTCTGGTAGAAAACATATTCTGGGTCAACTCCTGTGTTCGCGTCATCTGCATAAAGTTGTTTATATCCCACTTCAGGGTTTGTATAAAACTCTTTCCATCTCATATTTGCATACCATGTGGCAAACCTAACGCAGCGTCATTTGACATGGCAGTTTGCATTTGTACATCTGTTGGCACTTGACCATAGTTTGCCATTGCAGTTTGTATTCTAACTTCTTTTGGAATATTCTCTGGGTTTGGTTGTCCAGGTTGCTGTGCATTCGCTAAGTTCTGTGCGTCCATTTAATATTAGATAAAAATATCTCTTACGATACATATACTGGACATTTGCAGGCATTGTTCATCTTCATATCTCTTGTACTTTTCTGCCACGTCAAATAAATAAATGACACAATGGAAAAAACCTAAACAAGTAGTCCTATTTCAAACCACATTTACTTACTAGTAAAATTTCTTTATTGTGACACTTTCTCCGGTTTATAGGACTCTCTCATATTCTATCTTGTCATATATAAACATTAGTCATGTATGTCCTCTAACTTTCATAACGGTTTCCAACACACTTTTATCGGATGTAAAGTAAAAGCATGGATGGTTATGTAAAACGTCTAAAGTTCTAAAGAGTCTCTCAAAGTCCAGTCTACTTGGTATTGAAAATCCCATGTGTTATAGAACGGCGGGTCCACTATAAAGAAAACATTTTCCTTGTCTTTATATTTTTCATACAACTCTGTCCAATGACATCTCACAAACTCTATACCCTCAATATATTTTTCTATGTCCTCTTTGAAAACATTTGTATAGTTAAGATATAAAACTTTTGACATAAGTGTTTCAATGTCATGAACTCTTATAGCACCACTATAATATAGTCTAGCAGATATACTATCCCAGTCTATATATTCTGCTTTTTTCAAAACCTCTCTCACAATATTTTTCTTATCTAATGGTATACGTTCCATCTTACCTATAGGTATCTTTTCTTTTAACTCTTTCAATATATTGTTTGTGTCTGGTATATGTTTGAGACGGTCCATATAGTTGTCGAAGTCATTGCATATAATCTTTGAGTCTGGGAATATTGTATGGCACAAATGGGATATATAGAAACTTCCACCGAACAAATCTACAAATGTTAGACCATTCGGTAGTTTCTTAAGTTCTCTCAATAGAATATCTTTACATTTACTCTTATTTCCAAAGAACGGTAACGGTGGTTTTGTAAAATTCATTTATATATAATAATAAAAATGTTTTTACCCGAAAAGTGACAGAAAAGTGACAAAACATGAAAACATATATAATTTGTGAAAAGTGGCACATTATATAATGTTTTCGACCCAGAAGAAGGCTTCTCAAAGTATACTTCCTTGGAACGCCTGTAACTTTTCCTGTAGCGACGATAGACCCTTACTTGTCCGGACAAAGTTATACTAAACATCTTCAGGGCTAGAAGGGGCGCAGCCCCTGGAAGCCCCTCATACCTGACCTTATATTCCCACTCATTATATTCGTAAATTTTGAGGTTTATCCTTCGCTTTTAAGATCATTGAATTTGATTTTTATATAAAATAGTTATATATTAGAAAATAATATGAGTTTATGTGATATTATTTTTCAGAAGATTTCATTCTATATGCCTATGAAAAGTACTCTCAAAACTAACTTTTTCCTAATTATAATTAAATCTAGAATATTGTATTATGCTTAGTATTATTTCATTTTTCTCGTTCAATTTAGAATTTACAATTGTCAAAAAATTGAGAGCTGTCACTTTTGATGAATTTCTGTTTATTACAGTTCAAAAAAATAGGGTGCCAAAAAAAATGCGTACATTTTTATAATGGCATTCCTTGCGTTTAACAAGTTGATGATCATCTACCCATCTGCAGCATTTGTATTTCAGCCAATACTCGGAAAAATAGACATCAAAAAAGAAAGCAATTTACTCCCTAAGAATAAATTTATATCATTATTCAAGATTGATCAAACATTTCCTGATAAAAGAAAGGATTTAGTTTTATTCTACGGAAACAAAATGAGACATTTTGTTCCAAAAATCATTCCAATCAAAAATTCCATTTACGATCAATCAAATCATTTTCATGGTAACTTTGTACATGCAACGAAAATGTATGCATCATCCGGGTATGCTATAACCGATGGAAAAACAGTTTACAAAGCACCTGATTGTAATAATGATGATTACATGGTATATAATTATCCCGGTGATGTAGTTGGACAATATGAGAACGTTTTATTAGTAGGACATGTCGGAGCTTCATGTTTTGCACATTTTATCAACGAAGTTATGAATCCTACGCTTTTCTTTCCTGAAGAAATATTTAAAAAGTCATATCTTGTAGTTGAAGGACCTCCTAAGATGTGGAAAGATATCACTGCAGTGTTCGGATTCGAGGGGCGCACAATCCACCTTGAGCATCATCAATGGATTTATTGCGAAAATCTTTATACGGTTGTTGAGCCAAGACCTCATGGAGGTTATTATGGACCTGCATTATATCATCTTCATATGCTTTTTAGGAAATCTTTTAATTTATCCCAAATAGCACCCAACAAAGTCGGTTTTTTGAATCGAAAGGGTCCATATAGAGTTATATCTAATTATCAAAATTTAATTGAAACTGCAAAGGAAAAATATTCAAACGAAATTTTCTTTTTTATTCCAGATGCATTATCTGCATTTAATGCTGCGAAGACATTTGCATCTTGTAAAATTTTGATGACAGCAACCGGATCTTCTTGTATAAATGTTATATATATGGCAGACAAAACGTGTCTAATTAAAATCATCGGTCCTGTAGTTGATATGTGTAATATAATTGTTCCTAGCTCGCTGGATATCTTTCAGATAAATTTGTACTACTCAGAAATGTCTATGTATCAAGAATCAATTACTTATCTTGATATTAGCGAATCTATGAAAGCATTAGAATTAGCTTTTTATGTTATAAAGCATAAAAAATGGCCTGAAATTAATGAATACACTTATCTTATCTAATTAATCATTGTTATTTATATAATAAAAGCTATCCTTTAGTATGCAAATAAAAAATACTTGGTTAAATATAGAGTACTTAGCATGATAATTCATATTGTTGATATTCTTGACATTGAATTAACAATATCTGGTGTTTTCAATCGTGTGGCAAATGGTAAATTGGTTTTATGAGTTAGATTAATAGAAATGACATAAAACCGAGTAAATGCATTTCGTAACTAAAATATTCTAGAAGTTTTAATATTATAATGCTCACAAGATGTAAATGATGGTAAACCACTTTGAAGAAAAATAATACTTCAGAAGGTAAAATTTCAATCAAAGTTTTTTTAATGGCCATATGTGGCATAACCGCCAAGGAAATTCTTTAGGTTTTTGACCCCATTTAGTATCATAAATTTAAATAAGTTAGTTTGGAACTCAGAAATCATTATTGTTTCTATGAGCTCTCTCAAATGTTAATTCTGGAATTTTTTGTTTTTATTGATGAACACATATGAGACATATAATATAAATTTTGTTAGCCAAGTATTCAATTTGAGATTGAAGCTGATCAACGGTTTTTTATATCATTCATCACTTTCATGAAAGACAAAAAGAATTTTTCATTTTTCTTAGTCTATTTAACATTCTTATGGTCCTTGTTATCAGAGCCGAACAAATGTTCAATGTTTTTATTGGTGAACGGTATTCAAAAATATAATTCTACATCAACCAGAAACGCAAAAAACCTCGAACTGATCGACAACTATAGCATCATTCTTCCTAATGATAACTACTTAAAAATCAGACTAAATCTTAATTCTAAAGATTTTGAAAAAGGGAATTCTTTCGACAAAAATTGCCTTGGCTTACAACATTCAATTTATCATCACTTCCATCGTGCTGATGTCTGCTTGTATGGCGTTTACTACTATGACTACTTTATTGAATTATCCCGAATGCATGATGATTATGTTTATCCACCTGCTATAAATCATTCGCTACAAATATACGAAAAAATTGTATTGGGTTTCTCACATCACGTTCAATACGGCCACTTCATGCATGATATGCTTTGTCCAATAATTTCTATGCCTGCAGAAATTTTGAATGACGCTGAAATTTTTGTTTGTTTCAATGAAAATGAAGCCCGAAATATTTTCAATTTTTTAGGTTTCGACCCAAACCATGTTCATGCGTTGACAAATCAGTGGGTTCATGGCATTGATGTTCATGCAACAGTGAGTTCTTTTGGCGTAAATGCGATGTTCAAATCATGGATTGACTTGCATCACTTAATATATAAGAAATACAATTTATATGATATAGAACCTACATTATTCACTGCAATTAATAAGCCCGGGTCGAATTGGGGCTACATTGGAAATTTCGACTCTCTTATTGAACGAGCAAAGGAACTTTACCCTGAATATAATTGGACTTTATATCCAGCAGAAACACTATTTAATATAGAATTCACAGCAAAATTATTAGCTGCTACAAAATTATTCATCTCGGCTCCAGGATCAACATGTTTCAACTGTATCTATATGCATCCAAACACACATATCTTGTTCTTCAGCAGACTTCTTCCAGATAATCCTGCTTTAGCCAGTGCTTTAACATTAGGAATATATGTTTATTCAATAAATTCACCAAATTTAAAGCATGTTTTCATGATAGACTTCGATAACGGTCTGCATGAGATCATGTATGTCGTAAAGCATGGACAGTGGGGAAACGGAGTGAAACACAGATCGAAACTTCTATTTGATTTTTCTTTTTACGAAAAAGGATATGATCTATATAGAAATGTTCCGTACCGAAAAGGGTCACTAGAAAAGTGACAAAAAGTGACACTTACTCTTATTTTTCGCGCCAAAATTCGAAAGGGTTTTTAATATAATAATTATAATATATAAGGAATTTTATTAAAAATATGAAATTAAAATATAAAAAATTTAATAGTTAATTTAAGTTTGTTTTTTATTTTTATTTTAGAACTGTTTTCATAGGAATTGAAGGGTGAGAGGTATATAGTATGCCTATATACCTCGCACCCTTCAATTCAAACTCTAAATGGGAGAAACTTTGTTCGTATGTTATCTTATGAAAGCAAAGTTTCTCCCATTTAGAAAGTGAATAGGAGCCTACCAGGCACTGATACATAATCAGTGCTTTGTAGACTCCTATTCCCTCGAGAAAGTTCGAAAACTTGGTCGCAATTGCATCTGATTGCGACCAAGTTTTCGAACTTTCTGGTAGGAATTGAAGGGTGAGAGGTATATAGGCATACTATATGCCTCTCACTCTCAGATTACATTAACGTACATAAAAAATATTTTTAGATTGATTTTTACTAACCTGAACCTCGGAGTAACGAGGTATTCGTAGATATGATGTAGGCTATTGTTTTAAGCGGTAAGCTCGGAAACTTTTGTTAGATAACTTAGCATTCGAAGTCACTTTTTGAACTTTCTGCGCAAAACTGTAGCCTCGGAGTACCGAGGTATTCGTAGATATGATGTAGGCTATTGTTTTAAGCGGTAAGCTCGGAAACTTTTGTTAGATAACTATATCATACCGAAATGCATCACTAGCAAAAGTGACATTTGGCGCCAATTTTAAATTAGTGGATTTTGTGTTTATTATTTAAAAAATATAATTGATAAAATATAATTAACATTAATAGAATAATATGGATAAGATTTGATAAAAAACAATCATAAATTTTTTTGGGCGCCATATAGAGAACTATAGTCTGCGAGGTACTGATTCTATCCATGTACCTCGCAGACCATAGTTCTCAGCCAAAATGCCTCTAAAATTTGTATACCTATAAACTCAAACTTCAATATATTCAATTTTATTTTTATAATTAATTTAAATATATCTATATAATTCTAATGTTTTCTTTTAATTTAAAAAATAATAATAATAATTAAAAATAAAAATAAAAATAAACTTTTCTATAATATTTATAAAGCTGATTTGATATATAACACATGTAGCTTAACAAAATAACTTAGAAAAATTGCCACGCAAAATAAGAGTAAGTGTCACTTTTTCTAGTGATGCATTTCGGTACGGAACACTTTTGTTAGATAACTTAGCATTCGAAGTCACTTTTTGAACTTTCTGCGCAAAACTGTAGCCTCGGAGTACCGAGGTATTCGTAGATATGATGTAGGCTATTGTTTTAAGCGGTAAGCTCGGAAACTTTTCTTATATAACTTATCATCCAAATCTACGATTTGCAATGAATCATCAGTAAGTAAATAGTTGTATTAAAAAGATGTAAATACGATAATATTAAGTGTTTATTCGTAATGATTTGAGAATTTGTTGAAAATTTATTGAACTTGCTCGAGATTTTCATTTTCTGAACTCGTCATTGCTTTCCTTAAGGTTTTTTAATTGACCGTCGACTATCCAGAATGGTTCTTGTTCTGAATTTCGATACCAGTGATTATCAATTTCACTGGCCTCGAATTCATTCGGCGTAAAGTAAACGTTCGTTTCAGGATTCACAGGCAAAGAAGAATGGGGCATATTATTGTAAAATCTGATGACCCGTGGAAGATCTGATTCTGACTTGCAGTTTCTTTCCACGTATGGCCACCATCTCTCAATCTTACCATTTGCCTGTGGATTGCCCGGTTGAATGAAAATATGCTCATTTCCACGTTCAACCAAAAGTTGATGAAATGAGCTTTTATTTTCAAGGCCGTTATCGTCCAAATAGCGTATGGTGGTTGAGGTAGAGTACTTAATGCTCTTTTAAGAACTGCAGTTGTATTTTGAGCTGTTTTTTCGGTAAATAAATTAAAATCTATGATTTTTCGCGATCTGTCGTCTATTATCGCAAACAAATATTTGCCTATTCGTTTCCTCCAATAGTGGATATCAGCATGCCAAATTTGATGACATTTGGATGCTAGATAATTTCGAGGAATGTATTTTTGCTGATTTTCTTGATTTTGAGGGGGAGTATCTGCGATAATCGCTTCATGTATTTTCCTGCCCATTCTATATGAGGGAGAATCGAAATTTTTTGTAATGTATGTTGCCGTTTGAAGAGATTCGCGTAATGGATTTATTTCAATAGGCGTACCTTCTATTGGAGTCACAACTGGAACTAAAGTTGTGCGGTCAACTTCATCGAGCCAGTTTCCAGACTCATAATTTATTTCTCCATTTTTTTGAATTTCTGATTGAATTTTTTGAAATTCTTCTGGATTCTTCTCAATATTGACAAGGTCTGTTTTCATTTTCTGAATAATTTTATTGATGCCTGCATCGGGCATTAAATCTTTCAAATTTGCATAAGCTTGGCAGGCATCAAGATTAATTTCTATTTGTTTTCTTCCTCTTTTTGGAATTAATTCCAAATTATTTTCTCTAACAAGCTTTTTGAACATGGTTTTGGATATTTCACGAAAGGTACCATTATTTAAACGGGCCTTTTTGCAAATATCCTTTAGCTTCATTCCAGAGTTAATTTGTTGAACCGATTCCTTTAGCCATTCGATGTCAACTAATTTTCTGGAGGTACGATGCCAGTGATATGGATCCATTTGATTTTTGTAAAAGTTTACAAAAACTTCCATTCTGAAAAATAGTATGGATTTGATATAAAAAAATAATATGTAATAGTGTAATATTGATTAAATAATAAAAATAAGTTTTTTTTTAAAAAAAATAATTTTGGCGCCAAAAGTCACTTTTTCTAGCGACCCTTTTCGGTATGGTATATGATCTATATAGAAAAACAGGTAGGATTGTAAACCTTAAACCTTCAAAATCATTTTCTAAAAGAACGCATAGGAAATTCACACATTAATCCATTACCAAAATCTAAACTTATTATGAATATATCTTTTCTTATGTCTAACTCTATACATTATTGATGTTTATTGATAAAATATGTAGCAATATAATACTAAAATTTTTTCCCTAAATTTCGACCTAACTCACGCAATAAACTTTTTATTCGCTCTTTGGCCACCAAAGAGCCAGAGAATCACATTTGCATTAACTTATGGTGATATTATCTGGATTTCCTCTCTCATTTGTGGGACATCCAGATAGCTTCAACATAAACGAATTGCAGACATGTTCTCCCGCTCTTTATTGACAAAGTACAGCAACTACATTACACAAGGGCAGAGTTATTTTGGGGCCTCTCACTAATAAGAGGCTTCGGAAAAAGTCTGCCTTATTAGGTTAACTACAGAATCCCTGGCTCTTTGAAAAATAGGGAACAGTAATTGGAATGAATTATCTCGGAAGAACTTTGCCGTGTTCGAGTAGTTACAGAATCCTTAGTCCTTTGGGGACTAGATAGCGGTAGTACAAATTCATGAAGGCAATAACGGATAACTAATATCCTTAGAAGCGCAATACCTACACAGACTGGCTACTATATCCTAGCAGTTGGACTGCACAGGTATTGCGCTTCTGGTTTGCAGAACTCTCATGGAAGGCCGATTGGAGATCTGATGCCGAAATCACTTGCTGATATGGATGGAGCAGCATTATGATTGGCCAGATCAAAGGCCGCGTTGTTGTAAACAGAAATTCATCAAAAGTGACACCTCAGAAAAGCTAAAATATTGAATTTTTGGAACTTTTGATAGAGCACGTTTTTAAATATTAATTAAAGTAAATGTATATTTTGTAAAGATTCTTTTTAATAAAAAAATAAAATTTTGAAGAAGAACACAAAATCTTCTGAAAAATAATATCACATAAACTCATATTATTTTCTAATATATAACTATTTTATATAAAAATCAAATTCAATGATCTTAAAAGCGAAGGATAAACCTCAAAATTTACGAATATAATGAGTGGGAATATAATGCTTATCTATCATAAAACCATATGAAATATCAATTTTTGCTTTACGCCTAATTTTTGACGACAATTAGCAAAAAATGTTAAATGTTAACACTCAGTCCATTTGAATATGAAAAATAAAATTGACTTTGATTAAATGTTTTTATTTATCATGCAATTCTTCTTGCGACCAAAGATTTGAATAAAATTTCAAAAAATAAGATAGCTTAAAAATGATATATGGTAGTGTTTACTAATAGATGAATAGTATATAAATTCTATTAAAATGGATTTGATCCAAAAAAATATAAAATCAAAAATAATTGTTATAATTTAAATGAAGAAGTAATTTAAAACGATTTTATTTATGATCAAATTTTATATATTTTTGGATCAAATCCATTTTAATAGAATTTATATACTATTCATCTATTAGTAAACACTACCGTATGTAATGCATGAAAATTCGGTTCACTTCATTTTTGACACTTTACATATCGGATGTATTATCTAAGAATTATATTATAAAATAATAATTTTGTGTTTTATAAGTTTATTTGTATAAATTGATTCAAAAAAATGGAAAGACAAGAAGTGGATCTGCCAAATGAAAATCAGTTTTTGAACTTTGTATAAGGAATTGTTGGCTATGATGTACTGATCATGAATCAGTACATCATAGCCAACAATTCCTTCCCAAACAGCGGGAAACTTTGTCTGAATAGTTTAACATTCAGACAAAGTTTCCCGCTGTCAGAGAGGGAATGGAAGGGTAAGAGGTATATATTCATAATGTATACCTCTTACCCTTTCATTCCCTCGAGAAAGTTCAAAAACTTGGGTGCAATCAGAACTGATATATTTGAATAGATGACATAACTATTTTTTTAAAAGTAGTTATCTTTATATATAAAAATAAAACTTTTGATATATTTGAGTAAATGATTTATTAATTTATTTATTTTTTTTAAATCAAATCATATAAATATATATATATATAATAGTG